TATTAAAATGTATTAATTATTACTTTTACAACATCTTTAGATTTTTTTGACCTGACAAATAATCAATTAAAATTGAAAATTGTATAATTACAAATTCGAATACGTTGAGGCCTTTTAAAAACGCATTCGTGTAACATTTGACAGTTTCCTTTGCTATTCGACAAATATATACGAAATCGTGCCCCATTAAAAGCTAGACATTTTACGCAGTCGTATTCTATCCTTTTATTCGCTACTTAGTGCACATTATGATACGCAGCATTCAAATGTTGAAAAAGTTAAGAGAACTATCGAAATTCCTATGCCCAAGCATAACCCCGTACAAATATGCATACTAGTCATATGTTTAACCTTTATGGTACGCGTGTATGGTTTCGTATAAATATAACTGATGAATACCGGTTTTTTGTGAGTTTTGATTTATGAATAATATTACCATACACACATATTATAATATATTATTTTACTGGCCCAAACAGCAAGTAGCCATACCATCTGCCTACAAAAGTCCGGGTGATAAATATATTATAAGTATAAGTTATAAGTACTTATAACAATACAATCAACTGCAGATTTGATACTATATTATAGTCAGCACAGGTAGGCGTAGGCAGTTATCAATAATGTGATCGAAGTAATAATACAATTGCAAGGTATCCATTTTCATAAATTGTTGGTAATTTGCCCAAACCACCCTGTCCGAAGTAATCAACTAAATTGCACACATATCTCATGGTGAAAATATGTGCATGACCGTCGATCATAACGATATTATATTATACTCATAGGATATACATAGATATGATATAAAACATGTTATATACTTTTATGAATATTATAATTTATTCTCCTTAATTCAATGTCAGTTTGCAAAAATTACTAAAAACTAATCTAGATAAATATAGGTTTTATTTTGCTTGGGTTCAGTCTGTGTATTTAAATATTTTTTTATTAACCTCGAAGGCTTGAAGTGTGAAAAATATTATAACTTATATTACTACGTACAATAAGTTTATTTTTAATGACGACATTTTTTATAAAATATAAATGTAACAAATCTACATTACCGATAATACCCTTTTTTCTTTAAAATATGTGTTTTTATGTATGCTAAATTCAATAGTGTTTAAAAATGTGAGGAATCTTATACCTCATAAAAATTATGGCAATGTGAAGTTTATCAATATTAATTTACTACAAGTCCGTATTTAAAGGCTTATCTTATATTATATTATTATTCTTTATTGAGCCGTGTCCCGACAACTAGAAAAATACTGAATAATTTTATAATTTAATCCATTATATACTATAGAAATACCTACAACGTAACGGCGAATAGCATAATATGTAGATTTGTCATTAATCTTAAAACGATAAATACGAGATTAGCGTACCTGTTATTTATATTTAATACTAATTAATACACATATCAATTATTACGGTTAAATAAATATAAAATAAATTGTACTTGGGTAGTTAAAGTTATGCATAACATTATAATTTATAACAACCTATACAAAATTCACATCCAAGTGCAAAAAAATGTATTTAATTAAGTTGTTATTGCACATAGTATTATACAGTACCTGGTAACAGCTAATAACCAATAGGTACGATATTTCATCGTCTTTCAATAATTATTTTTTTTTTTAAATTTAAGTACCTAGGTACTTAGGTACTTTGGCTGATATTATTGATAAGTATTATTGCAGCAGGTTGATTCCATTTAGTGAATTTATTGGTAACCTAATATCAGTAATACCTACTTAAGAGTTAAGTACTTAAATAACGAATATTAATACAAGTTAAAACTGACATAATGAATACTTTATATTTTATATTGGCCATGATTTTGTTGAATTCCAGTTTCCCGGTGTGATTATTAATTATTATTTATTATTATTATTCCACGACAAGACCGATAATTAATAATGAAAAAGATGACGTAAACAAAAAATATATTATCATGAAATGTATATTTCTTAGCATAAAATATTAGTAAGTTAAAAATACAACAATTATTAAACAAGGTATAATATTTTCTCTAAAGGCGCATTCACAGCTACGTCGTGTGTCGCGTAGTGTTGATCAATCGCAATGTGATTGGATATTAATTTTTTGGTATCATTATGTAATAATACCAAGCTGTAACCGAGTATACCAAGAATTTACTACAGCCCAACTTTTAAACCATATTGGTTACCAGTTATAACCATATTATAGTTACCATGCCCTCACACGACTCGACACACGACGTATCCGTGAATTCAGCTTTAGTTATATTTGATGGCAATAAAAAACTAATATAAGGGCGCCATTACGTTGTGTCCGCATTCCGAGCAGTACTAGTTTAGAATTTCCTTTGTTCTTCGTCAAGTTAATTTATAACTATCATAATAATAATATTATTGTTCAGGTAAAATGATTTCACATTAACAACCACCTAATCCACGTTGGAATAGTTAAATGTTTTCGTCTATTTTCGGTACCTACCTATGTTCCGCATAACGGGTGGTTCCCTCGCGGTGTAATAATATTATAACATAATCTACTAATTATTTTCATGTTTATCCGTCGACTTAAGAGGAAATATTATTATTATTATTATTATTACTATTATTGTAATTTATACAATTATTAATTTACACCATATATTATTATTATCTACCTGCACGCTCATTAGTTATACAGCATGATCGCGAACGCTCCGTGAAAATCGTTCCGCTACATACATTGCCGCCGGCGGCGCGCTGCTTATATACGCTGGTTATGGGGACGTCTACCACCCGGCCGTGATCGTCTAGTGGTAAGGACCTTGCGTTGTGGCCGCAATAACCCAGGTTCGAATCCTGGTCACGGCACAAAATCTTTTTGCAGAAAAATCCCGGGAAAGCGATCGGAAAATTATTATTAGACTAGACACGTACCCCCGCACGCACCGCCGCCGACGTTGTCGTCGTCGTCGTCATTGCCACCAAGACCATTGTTGTTGCGTTACTGTTTTCCCGACGGTCACGCCGCTTTTTTTACATCACGTCTCGTATACCACCACTATACCGTTGTTACCAATACGTCGTTGGAAAAATAATTACAATATTCAACAGCTGATAACCACTTTAATAGATTTTTTTTACAATATCATCTAATTAGCTCGTAGGTAAGATGTTTTAATTATTATTATTATTATTATTATTATCCGACGACTACGGAAGACTTGTTCGACAGTAAAGAATGTACTATGCAATATTATATGCCGTAAACCTGATCTTGTGATAAATGTATAAAACTCTTAGTATAATCATCGTATAAATAGTGGTAGATATAAAATGTTAGATATAATATATATTATCTCAATTTATTTTATAAATAAATACTTGTACAAAGTTATAACTCCTGCTAGCAAAGGCTCCTGCAAACATGTCATTTTGAAGGAGTTGTGTTTAGGCAATTCTTTCCTACCTTGCGGTCACGCTCGTAGTTGTGTGTATGTAATAAATGATCAATGGTGTGCGATGTATTATACTCCACACCAATCAACCACATCATACGTATTACGCACCAACACGCACGTGTCCTCTAGTCATTAGATCAAAATATTCAAAATCAATTTATGGACTTGAAATAGCTATAGGTCTGACAAAAATGTGAGTAAACTTCTAAAGGTCCAAACATTCTAAAAATATGTATTGGTGTTTGAAAACATAAACCAGATTATTTTGCAACGGTCAGAGCACTTTTTCAATTTTAATAAACTTTTGACGATAGTAAACATTTAAAATTTTATCAATTTTTATATTGAATATTGTATTAAACACTGTACAAATTATTTAATGTACAAAATGCTCCGAATAATGCAAAGTTAACTTCCATATCAAATCAAAAATCTTTACATTTTTTTAAATCCAAACACTAGAAGTACCTTCATTTTTGACATTCGCTAATGTCGTATTGATGAAAAATTTATATGGTTTGAAGAGGCCTTAGTTTGTTATTAATTATTATTATAAATTGTAATTTTGTAATAAAATTCATATATCTGATAGGCTTGTGAATTATAATAAAAAACTAGTTGTTTCTCACATATTTTGAAATGCTTATATTTTATTATTATTTTTACCAAAATGGTAAAATAATAGTTAATTTAATTTAATCAAAAACTGTATACATTTAAATAATATATAAAAATCAACTATGTAAATATTATATCAATAATCGATATTATAATCTAATAATAATCGGCATCCAATGTTTCAATAAAAAAATAATTAACGACTTGAGTTCAAAAGCGCTATAAAATATTGTAGGTACAATTGAATATTTAATAGGATCGTTAAATAAAAAAATCACAACTGTATGTGTTGCCTCCGTCTTATAAAGTTACACACTCACGACGTACTAAATTTGTGTTAAACAAGTCTATTCTGAGTATAATTTAATAAGATTTAATATTAGAGTGGATTGACCTTTTATCAAACTCAAACAGTCAAACTTAAAAACATTAATCGTTTTATCTCGTGTCATGATAATATTATGATTTTTAAGCGGGTTCTGAGAATTGTTATATTGTAATATCAAAAATATGAAATATAAAATATTGTAAAAACCCATTAGAAAACACTGTTAGCTGTTAACGTTTACATTTAAGTTTGATAATATATAAATTAACCTTAACCGTAAGCATTACTACATTTGGAACTGTGTAATACAAATTTGCTATGTTATACGTTTGTATGACAAATAGACAACACATGACGGTGTACTAGTTCTGTCCATGTGGTCACAAGCGTCTATTTTTAAAGTTGAGTATGAGCATATGTCCATTGTCCAATTTAAAATAAAACATACATTTTGTGATTTTGTAGGATTGACTCATTTATATTATCCTAAATATATTTATCTATAATTTTTTTTCACTAATAAAAAGTTGTTTAACATGATTTTTTTTATTCGTGAAAATAGGTTTATAAAAACTAATAAAAACATTTGATTTTTTTTTCCAGTTCAATACAAAGTGAATTGTGACAATGATTACATGACAGTCGATGTTATGAAAACCGATGACATTAAAAGCATTTATTTGAACCAAATGAAATTTTATCCAGGTAATATATAATATGTATTATTGTGTTATTAATATGTATTATTGTCAATTTATTAATTATGAGTAAAAATTGAAGTTGAGTTGATTTTAGGTACCATAGCTCATAATTTGATGTACAATATTTAATTAAGTAAAAAAAAAAAATGTTAATCATGTATGGTACCTATGTAAAAAAATATCAGTCAATGATTCAGATGATGCCGAGGCTTTTATTAATAACAATATTCATGTATATATTTAGTACCTACCTAGTGACACATCCATTGTTTTATTAAATTTATTTTGACCTACTCTAATGAATATGATTATGATATTATGTCTTACAGACCATTAAAGATACATTTTCATATTTAAATATTATCTTATTGATAAATAGCATTTTGCATGTATATTAATACAATATGGAACATGCGGTAGATGCACGGCAAGTCATTAAATATGACGAATTGCAATTATAGTGCAATAGTAAAGTTAAAAACAAATAAACGTTCTTTAAGAAGATCGAAAACTAATATTATTTGCTCTGTGTCTGTTGCGGCTAGCCGTAGTTTTTTTTGTTTAGAAAATGTGAAAATGCAGTTTATATAATATTTATTTTTACACAATTTTTTTAACTTCATTCTTCAATTTTTTTTTTTTTAATTTCAATCAGAGCTGGCTTGCCAACCGGTTTTCGAAAAAAACCTCATCCAATTCAAACTGTCTCTGCAAGACGTGTTCAAATGCGGACTGACCAAAGTGACCAATCAAGGAACCGTAAGGGTTTGGAACATTTCTTTAGTTTTTCGAAAATTCTACATGGAAACTTATGAATTTTTAGGGTACAGTCACGTACTATCATCAGATAGTCATAGAGAAAGACGGTGGTAAAAACTACGAGCACAAATCTTTTGTAAATGTGAAGTGCTGGTTTTCCGGAAACAAAAATCACACAGTAGCCAAGAGGAATGTGCTACCTGCCGGATTCCAAGAACCAGAGTAAGTTAATTGCTGTAAGCGTAGTGCGCGTATAAGTTTAGGATTCGGATGTATCTAATCCACATATTATTGACAAATTTGAAAGCTCCCCAGATAAGATTATGCTTACAAACATATAATTATGATTAATTTAAGAACAATTATCCATCTAATAATTGGATTGCAGAATGTATGTGATAATAAAAGTGTATTATGACGTACACTATAATTCTATTGCAGGTAAAGAGCATATTGTAACATAAATTATTGAATAGAGTAATAACAATATTATAACGATAACTTGATGATGGCCGAAGGGCGATCGACTAAATTTTTTGCAAAACAATAGCATAATATACTGCTTACTATAATTTATTTCATTAAATCAAACATTTTTTTTTCACATCAGGTAATATTATCTGAAATTTGTTTTAAACATTTTAAAAAATGATGCCAACAATTTTTGATCAATAAAAGATAACTCGAGTAGGTAAATTTTAAATAATATACCTAAACTATAGGCTATGAGGCTTACCTAATTTTTTATATGGGGAATGAGCCGTTTGCACACTACTTGGTCCCCACTCCCCACTCAGCATCGTTTATCCAAAATCAAATATTTACAACATTGGTTACCCCAATGAAATTCTGAACCCAATTTATAGCGTAGTAGCTATTAAATACGTATATTATACTTATTAGTTATTAATAATTTTACATTTTTTTAACAGCTGAACCAAAAATATTTCCAATATGTACATTATTTATTAATTATTGCTTGTATACAGATATCTTATACATACTATTTATACATCTTTATATACATTACTATGATCAGCTATCGATACGAATACAATTTGCTGTTTTAGCTCGTGGTTTTAATGCAAATCGTCCCTTGGTAATGCAAAATATTTTTTGACTACCAACTAATAAAAATAGTGAACACTAAAAAAAAGCCATTTTATTTTGTAAATATTTATTAATAAGACTGTAATTTTAGAAAGAATTATTTTGTCGAAAATACCATACGAAAAACCCAGTAGGAACTTAGTTTTAAATAATAGCACTGTTGATATTTAGTATACCTTAAAGTATCAATACACATCATTGTCACATCATACGCTTTACCTTTTATCAGTTGTATTACAGTAAAATTATGATTGTGCTGAAATTTCACAAATAATATAAAAACAATATCCCCACAATTGAAGATCTATTATATTCGTCTTCGAAACGAATTTAAGAAAAATAATATCATATCACACCGTTTTTTTTTGTTGTTGTTTTTTACGGCTTGTTTACGTTACGTTACTTAAAACATGATCGAACCTAACCCAACCGATTCGACACAACATCGCGAATACATAATAGTCTACAGGCATATTAGTATACTATTTAGGTACCTACAACGACTATAACTTATATATTAATACCTATACACACATAATATATACATAGCCTTCCAAGCCGTTTGCGGTATAAAATGTGGTCCAGTTTCGAAATAATTGTCGAAATGCACAGTTGGTTCTATATCATAATCGTGGTGGGATGCAACTACAGTTTATACTTTATACAACAATAATAAGGCAATACTATATTTAAACGATACACTTTCTTTGACTTACCACATGATCGCACGTGCCCGCTGACGTGTGTAATTTATTTGTTTATATCTATTATTACATTAATAGGTATATTGTGTAGAGTATAGACATCGGATAGTCAATCGAGCATATTATTATATTATTATTCTCGAAGCGTATAATGTGGCTTTACCCATGGTGGGTTAGGTGGCGAGGCGAGCAGGTGAGGTATTCGGAAAATTATGAAAACTATTATTTATATCCTTATTTGTAATCATCGTGGGTGGTAAGAAATAAGAAGAGGGTAAAAAGATACATGGCACTTTTGGGATCATCCAGTAATAAGTTTTGAAAAAGATTATGAATGTGTAGTAAGTTTATACTTAATGTACAATTAACGCATAAAAGTTGTTGATTTGTTTTTGTTGATAATAATAAAATAGTCCATAGGGACTGTGGACTATGGTATAATGTGTGAATATGTGTTTAACCATATTAATGTTTATTTATTTTTTCAACGTCAAATTATTTTCTTACTTTTTTATATTATTTGAATACATATTTATAACTGTTGCTTTATCGGGTACAAGGTTGTTATTACGGTTAGCACTATTTGCCGATTGATAAATATAGGGAAATAGAGGCATCCCTAGACAGGCCTTGATCGGGGAGGTAAATTTTTGAATTTTCAAAATATGTACATTATAATTTACAATAGACAGAATTATAATTTATAAAAATAATGGTGCACAACAATATAATATAATATTATTATTATAATATAGGTGCATTATTCAATATTCAATAGTTCTTCACGTATGAACAAAATATTAATGTACAAAACAAAAATGTATAAATAACAAATTGCCCCATCGTCCTCTCCTCTAAGTTGCACGTAGGCAAATAATTATCCACGGTCTTTGTGAGCTTTGTGTTTATGCTCACCGTACGTTATTATGCCCACCTCTGATCACTGCGAATCGTTAACAGTATAATAATAATACATTTATATATATTTTATCATTGTACTTATTGTATCGGATATGCGGTAAAAATCAAAGTATATTATGTAGGTAATACTGTAATTGCCAATAGGTAATCACTATAGGTCTAAGCTGCAATGTCGACCATACCGGTTTGATCTTTATCCTCCGGCAATATTAAGTAGTAGTATAGTTGTCTACGGCAGCTCGTTTTCGATTTCATCGAGCGAAATAATATTATGTATTATTGATCGAATAAGATATAATGAAAGTACCTATATATAACATAACCGCAGCAACAATTACTGTCCATCGATGTTTCCATGTGGTGGGGAGGGGGGTAATTAATTGTCAATTGAATTTACAAGATATGTTCTATTTCAAAGTAAATGCACCTATAATATAGATACTTATAAAAAATAATTCTTAAAAACTCTTATGAAACACTAGTATTTTAGTAGGTAGTCGAAATGTGTTTTGGGAACTTGCAGAAAATTGTGAAAAAAACGATCCAGTTTGCGGCACAGTAATTTGAACAAAACAGATTATGTTTATCTATATCGGCTAAACATAATTTTGTCATTTTGGTATTTTATTGTAAATTGTAGTTATTATAATATTATTATGACTTCAAATTTTTAATTACTTGAATTATTGTAGACAATCATCATTACTATTAAGAAAGAAAGTTATATACAATATACTTTGAAGCCTTTAACTTTTAAGTTGTCAAACTTTTTTTAGAAAAATTAGATACTGTGCTTAAATATGTTTCTTAACTTGTATTGCGGTACCTATTGTTACGGAAATTATTGCTATTGATTTATAATAGTATATACTATTGTATAAATATATATCTGTTTAGCTATTATTATATATTATATACACTCACTTAATATATGACTGTATTTATATACATATATTATACATAAAATCTTTTAAACTTAGCATTATAGACAATAATTGTGGCATTGTTTCGTAATACTCCGAGACTGCAGATATATATATAGCATCTCAAATAATAAATGTACGATTTATGACACAATATTTATGTGGGAATAAGACCACACTTTATTCTATACCTACTGATAATTAGTAGATCCTGAATTACTAAAGTACCTATAAGTAATGAATATGAATTATTAACTATTATTTATATACCAAATACCAATCACCATTAGGCAATAGTCAATACCTATACATAATAATAAACACAACATAATATTATATAGCATGGCTTGGGTCTAAAAGTGCCAACATCACTTTTTTGCCAAACTTAGTAAAAAAAAGACAAGTAAAATTTTTTTAACCACTTTTATACAAGCATACAAATTAGTTTTTTTAGGTTATTGTGAAACCAGATGCAAAATTTAAGTTTGAAAATAAATTTTTTGTATATATAAATTTTATTTCAAAGGCTAACAGAATATAATTTATTATAATTGTTTTTAATTTTATCTTCCAGTGTTAATTAGTCAAAGTTTTTTGTTCGTTAAATATTACGTATGTAAATTATTAACAATACATTCAAAACCCAGACTATATAATTATAACAGATAGTCTTTGTACTTATACATTATTAATTATTCATTATAACAACCGGTGATCGACGTTCCTCGAGGGATGAATTCATCGGATACTGCGTACACTGTACAATATGCTTTATGACCAAGATTTGACTTTATTACAGGGACTTGGAGATCACCACTTCGTTGACGGAAAACGCGCCGGTTCCCATGCTTAAGGTGGGCGTGAGACAGGGTGGTAGTATCGTTAACGGCGAACTCAACGTCAACCCAGGCACGCCTTTGCAAATGGAAATATACTTGGACAAAGACAGTGCTCCGATCTATGGGCTGCTGGTGAGCTACATGCAAGTGACGGACACCAAAGCGCAAGAGGAAACCATCATATTCAACGGGTAAGTTATCATGTATTTATGGAAAATAAGCATACTACCATAGGATATACGAACAGGTACAGATCAACCTCTGAATTTTTATTGTGAAATCGCACTTACAGAGATGTGAGAATTGTGTTTATAATAATAGTGTTTTTAGAAGGTAAACACAAGTTTAATAATTTTAATGAAATTAAACTAAATTTTGATGTTACACATTGTCTTACTAGACGTGGGAGTATAATAGTTCAATACAATTATAGTTTATACAAAGAACGGCGCTTGTTCGATCGATCAACATATTATTTCAATTTATTTGTACGTAATATGCATATATTGTTTTTTACCAACAGCTGTTCGGTGGATCCATATTTGTTCGAAAACTTTAATACGGTGGACGGTGATTTTTTGACCGCTAAATTCAGGGCGTTCAAGTTCCCCGAGTCAACGTACGTGCAGTTCAAAGGCACCGTTAACGTCTGTTTGGACAAGTGCAGAGGGGTTAGTACCACTTACATTACACTCCGTTAATGTGTATTACGTATACACACTGTTAACTACAATTTTATATACATAATTATATTATATGACGCGTGTTGTTTTAATGAACACTACTGTAGACGAATGACGATGACTTTAATATTGTGCGACTATTTGTATACTTCTATAAAAATAATGATGTGCACTTTTAACTACATATTTGTTCAGATATTAAGAAAATATTATTCTAAATATATTTTTTATTTTTTTTTTTACATTTTTTAACATTTTCAGAATATATATAATCAGTGACATTTTTTACAATAAGCATATGTGTGTTGGATATTATTGGCGTAGAATGCTTGAAGGGAGTAGCTACCCAGCGCAGTAGCACTCAACAATTCAACATTCTAAAAAGATAATTTATATTTTCATCGTATATAAAACCTTTTTTTAGTTTTATTTTATTTAACAAAATGTAATTTTATCATTCAAGATAATACTATAAAACAAGAAATATATTTAAAAAATGTATAGGTGTTTGATTATTCAAATTTCAAATATATCCTTAGACAAAAACTCATAAATTTATAACGAAAAAATTGTTAATATGTTTCAATTTCTAACAGCAATTTACAAAATTACTGTCTACAAAAAGTGTCGAATAAAATAAAAAGAATGTGAAGACATTTTCATAAGTTATAATTTCAAACTAAATATACTTAAATTTTTTTTCACAAATGACCTAAATATGAATAAAAATATTTAAAAATGTGAGAATTACACTTCCGAGATTAACAAGAATTATGCGACCACTGTATAATTATCAAAGACTTACTCGTTGTTAACTCTTAGAGCTAAATATTAAAGAGCTTATAAAAACTTGGTGTTAATTCCATTCATAGAAGTTTATGACAAAACAGTAGGTAGGTAAAAAATAATGTTTTCTTGGTTTTTTGACATTTCTGAATATTGACCAGTCTGGCGTTGCCCACCCAAGCATCCGCATTGCGTCAATGGAAGTATATCATGTCGCAAATAAATTCTAATAATGATATAGGTAGGTACTAACTATACGGATATAAATTGAAAAAAAGTAACGCTCAGAACGAATAAAAAATTGTAATCTACATTATTCGTTAATCTTTCATTATGAACACTAATGACATCACAGTTTGTTAAACAGATATCTCATTAAAAACGAATCATGATTAACGAAGTGCGAATAAACAGTAAAACTCGCCTCTGTCATTACATTATATGTATACCTTTAATGTCCTTAATAAGGTACACAAACAAAGTTACAACAAATGTAAAGTAATTTATCAAATCGTATAAGATTTGATCTCGTTAGTATTTAAAACTATATTAGACGTCCACTCTAAATTGGGACATGTCTCCTATATTATTTTACGTCATTAATTTACGATCAAATAAAATATAAAATATAATACCTAATAAGCTTTTATATTATATTTTGACATATATTCTAACAGTTCTTGTATTATTTGATATCTGATTACTGATACCACTTTCTACCGCTATTCCTAAACTTAAAACCTACCTATGTAGGTAATGCTGGAACAGCCAATATTATTAAACTATATTTTTGTCCTGCACAATTCAGTGAAAATTAATGACGTTACACTCAACTGCGTCTGTAAAGAAGTAAAAAACGTTTTTAAAATTAATTTTTGTCATCACAAAATATTCAATTAAATGATTAAAGAAAGAACCAACATAATCTTATACAAAAAATTACTGTTTAAAAACACACATAATTAAAATTTTTATTTAATCTTAGGAGTTTTTACTTTTTATAGTGTATAAGGTACTGAATAGGTACATTACATAACCACTGAAGTCAATGACTGATTGGCCCAAAATTTTAGGAAAGCGTGAATTGTATTAATAGTTTGAACTATAATACCTATGAAAACTTATTTCAGCCTTAGTCCGCTGTTTGTCAGTCAAATTGATTAGATGTATTTTTTAAAAAATTATAATTCTTAATAGGTAATAACATTATAGAAGTTAATTAGTAAAAAATTATAAAATATATAAGATAACTCTTACACTACTCAATTTATCTAGTAAATATATTATATAAAACGTTGGTTTTAGGTGGATTGTAGCAACGGTAAAGTTGGTTTCGGAAGGAAGAGGCGAGAAATCAGTGGTATTCCACCTGACCCGAATAAGGTGTTTGAAGTGTCCATGACCACTTTCATCAAAGTGGATTACAAGAGCGAAATGGCCAAAGAAAAAGGTAAAAACAACGTATTTATGTTGGATAACAATCCCAGTAATTAGTCGGGGTGAATATTTTATTGTTAAGTACCACACATAAAGTTGTATATAATTAACTTTATTTAATAATAATTAATATTTAACATTTATTCACATAGTTGGTATATCATTAATTCAATTTATCATACCTGATATCAGACAGCATTAAAAAAATTTTAATATTTAAGAATGTTATAATTTCTCTATAGTTCTCTTGTGGGTTAATAGCTGGTACACCGATATAGGTATACGGTATAACTAAATTTTTTATGTTTATACTACATAATATGCTTGCATGTCGGTCGATGTAGTTGCCTATATATCGCCCCTTAGCAACGCGTTTGCGGTAGCGTTAAACGACTAAAATGCCAATAATAATTACGATTACAGCAAATAATAGGAAATGTTGTTATACAAACAGAACATATTAAAGTAAATATAAATGAGATAAAAAATAGGAAAAGTAATAACCATCCTGCAATTTCTATAGGTGTCGACCATTCTCTTTATCGAGTAAGTCATTATAATATATAGGTGTATGTGTTAGATTTGAATTCATTGATAAGTTATTGGCATATTGCATACAAATCATTTCGATAATTTATTTTATGGCTTATTAATTTTTTCGACAGGCCAAGAACCATCGAACCTTACAAAAAATAGTAAAAATCATTATTTTTATTTGAAAGAGGAAACCTATTTGTTCATGTTTGGACGATTGAACTCGGCGATTTTCTGTCTTTGTCGAACACACGTGCGACATAGGATTTTAAACTTGATCTTTGCTAAATGTACTGATTGATATAGCGAAGTCCTAAGAATTCTGAAAACAGATTTGAATTTGACGTAAAGTCTATTTGAGATCGAGTTTCCAACATTTTTGACTATAGTTTTTCGAAAAATTGAAATATGACAATGTTTTAATTACTATTTTTTAATACGCTATTCTTAGGAATTTGGGGAATAGTATCGAAAATGTGGGAGAGTCAATCTCAAGTAGTCTTGATGACAAATTCAAATATATTTTAAGAATACTTTCTGCTTCATTAGATCAATGGTACGTTTAGCAAAGACAGAAAATCGCTTTAACTTTAAGTGCCGGCAGAAAAATGAGTTTTTAAAAACTAAAAAATTCTTAACGACTAACGATTGGATAAAGTTGTCTTGAAATAGTCGTCCGAAAGACGAACACTATATTTTATGCAGATCGAATAAATAGTGTTGGTCTTTGAAAGTATAAAAATGCAATTGCACCAGACGAATGGAGTTCTTTCTAGAGTTTTAACCCTCAGACACTTGAAATGCATTATTGCCAACCATGTTTACTATAGTAACACTTTCTCCGTCCTTTTCGCAGTGAAATTGGAAATCGACACGACCGCGGACGAACGGAACCAGACCAATTCGAACTCGCTGGACATGAGGCCCAAGGGTGGCGCCAGGAACGCCGACGGCACCGACCACATGCGTGTGGACACCGAGGAAATCCGCGAGGAGCTCAAGTACACGCTTCTGGAGACCAACTCCGGCGGCCACACTTTGGGGCCGCACACCGTGGCCACAGTGGCCGTGCTGTTGATCGTGGCCATCGCGCGCGGCGCGATGATGGACGTCTAAACAACGAGCGCCTCGCCCGCCCGTCAGCCGTCACACAACTAACAGCTCTAACCTTATTAACTTTTCTATTCTTTTTTTCGTGATTTATATTATAATTTATCCATAATTATTATTATTAGGTTTATAATGTATACGTAACATAATATAATATCGCCTGTATTGTCGTTCAAACCAATAACTGTTTGAAGCCTTCAAAAAGCAAAACGTTTATGTTTTTTCGACTCGTTTATTTGCCTCCTCGCCCCGCCCCGAGAGCTTGTTCGATGTGCGGGGCGGGTGGGACTTAGTGGGGTTCGAACGCCATTTTGTCGATGGCCAACAATCCAGAAGACCATTGACTCAATTTATTAAGTAAATAATTATAAAATATACAAAACTGTGTGTATCTTATGAACATATGACAAGACACGACCGCCAATAATCTTTCGTTTAAACATTATTATATGGACTAGTATTAAATAAAAATTTTAAATTATCCATCACGTCTTTGCCTACCTCCTTAGTCCTATATCATGAACCGTTGGTGGCAGGTACATGTTTTCGAAATGCACGTAATCGCATGGTGTTTTGAAAATCGATACACGCTTGAATCATCATGTACTGATTGATCACCTTGAATAATAATAAATCATATACAAATTATTATCGTTATATAACTATACTACTTATTAAATTATTGGGCTTTATTTAGGTACTTGAAAAATTATGTATGAACGGATAGGTATTGAGCTATGACTGATGGGCAAGGCTATAGGGTTTTAATGGCCAGAAAAAAATACGACGACCCAATAGACGGCTTACCAAGTCCCTTACAATAAAAATCAACCTTTTAGAATGACCGGAAAAAAATGGAATGAATTTTTTAGTTCTTAATTTACACAATATACAAAACTTAGTACCTAGCTAAAAATTAACAAATTCAAGTTTAAAGTATATATTTTGATTGGTTGATGAATTTCGAAAGCGAGTCTGAAATCCACCTAGTAAAATATTTAAAAAAAACATTTTTAATGTATGTAAATAAATAACAAAAACAATACAGTTTACCAACCTTTAATAAAACTGTAAAAAAATACCATTAAAGCTTAAAAAAAGTTAGGAAAATTCAAAAGAACACAAAATGAAATTTACAAATTTTTAAAACCCATCATTTAAAATGTATTTTATTATGTACTTTGAATGTTATTTCTTTGAGATTAAAAAAATTCTATAAAATCCTAGCCCCACTGATGAGTATAGTATATATTCAAAATGTTATTTTAAATAGACCTTATAAAATTTAATCGGCACAAACAGTTGTTGTTTTGGAATATATTATTTTTATAATTCAAATTATGTTTATTTTGCTCTACAATTATTTTTACGATTTGCACATAAAATAAATTGTCTTTTTTTATAAACTCGTAGGCTAATATTTTTGTTAACAGATTTATCGACCATCCAAAGAACTTTTTGTTTTGGTAGTTACTTTGAATAACGCGTCTGACATTGTTCAGAATTTATCTTAATTTATTAGTATTAAGAACTGTAACGATTTATTATTAAAGTGAAGTAGAAATGATTTAACATGTCCTTCATAATACCAATATGGTGCATAATATAAAATTTTTAATATACATATTTTAACTTATGCTTACGATTACTCCCCGAAAGTGTGCATTTCTTCTACGACATTTTATTTAGTGAAATCTGAACTAAATATATTTTCATTTTTCAATAACTGTGATAATTGTAGTTGTATTATTATTAATATTAATACAAAATAACTATACATTATAATTTATAGAGATGGATACGTTTTTGTTTAACGTCAATGTGTAATATAATATTAGTTGTAAAGTGGTCATGTTCGATTGATAAAATCATTCTTTTTGTAATGTAAACAAAATAATAAATATGATTAATTTTCTAATATAATTCATATTTTCTTATCTATATATTAGACGAACTAACCAAACCAATACTTACGGTACCAATTTATTCCATTTTGTTTTATTATTTAACATAATACCCAACACAATATAATATTTAAAAAATATATAAATATTTTATAAGCTGCTAGTCATGATACTGAAATCGAATTAATTGAGTCTACTGATTAATTACAAGATAATATTACGATTTATGTGCTAACGAAATCATGTAGAAATTTTTATAACGATAATACAATTAATGTTTATGACTATGACTATGGGAAGTAATCATTTTTTTTGAGTCAAATTCTTACAGCTTTGATAACTATTGTAGTGATTTAATAATTTACAAATTGTACAGTTTAGTTACATTGAAACTTTCATGTTATTATTGACTTGTACCATGTACATCTATATTTGAGTATCGTGATATATCAAAGATTGAAGGATCCAATAATTTGTACAAAACTCTCTGACATGTGAGTTATAAGTAGTGACAATTAGTTGCCACAATATTGGCCAGTTATGACCTATCACCACGAAAAATCGAAACCAAGTTTCCTACTGCCATTTAAATCGCCTATATCAAAATCCCATAAAGGCTAGAGAGCTGCGTCGTTCTTAAAATAATTTAACTTTTAAAATATTTATGTAACAATAAATTCTAGTTCAATTATCCGTTTTAATATTGTGCAACCTTCTGTTTGGTTGAATGATAATAATTGAAATTAAAAAATACATTAGTTTTTCATACGTTAGGTAATCATTACTTCATTTACTGATTAGAATTAATTTTTATTGTTAAGTGGCAGTTTTAAGTTTTAACCATGGCAAAAAGTAAATTTATGTTTAGATCTGAAGTTAAATTTAAATGTTCAACGATAGTAAACGTAAATATAATGCTAGTGTTAAAATTAATACCTGTGATCAAAATATATAATAGTTGTAAATGTGCACAGCTAATTACTTTATAAATTATAATTAAATAATATTAAATAAGCTAGGTACTTGAAAATTAGACGGATTGAAGTGAAGTTAATGCTAATTCGTTAACTTAATTTTAAACATGATCGATGTAAATACATATTAATGTCAACTTGGACTGAAAAACAATTATAAAACTTAATGGAGTTAAAAACATAATTTACTAAAATAATCGACTCAGAAGTTATTGTGCATATTCTGCTATTATCATTCATTTTTGAACTACTATTTTGTCGACCAAATTAAATTTATAATTTAGGTAAATAAAATCACCATGCCCACGCTTCCTTGATCACTAAGGAACTCAGGCACAAACTCTTCTTACAATCGAGCACGTAATTATCAACTGCCCCAAATTCGCATCCTACATCACATTTTCAATTTTTTGAAACTAATTGCTGTATGGTTTAGATAAAAAAATGTTGGTACACCTGTATATAACATAATGTTCTGTTTTCATTTTTCTTTTTTCTTTAATATTGTATAAGTTCATTTAGTTTGTATAACACACTATAGGCTAATTATCGATGTTGAAATAGTTGAAGCATTATTTTAAATTGAAAAAAATACTTTTTGGGTTTGTCAGTTACGTTTCTTGAAAATAATATTATTACATGCGAGGAGGAGTAGCTGTTTTGAGTAAAATCCAAACTTTCATGAAGATGGTCTCATGTCTAGGTATAGTTTAGGTACACAGTGTAATACAGTGTACTAAATTATCAGGTTATTTCTAAAAACATAAATGTAACTATTTTTTTAATCTAAAAATCTATTGTATTTAATCGTCTTTTATGAAACTTAGCAAAATAAAGTATCCAATGAAGACTAATAAACGTTCCCGCAAACTTATAAACACCAATATTTATATTATCATACCTACCTATTTTTTAACTCATCATGGAATTTAAGTCTAAAAAAAAGGTTGAGCAAGTGGATACCACTACATAAGATGTCATGTTTGATACTGTAATGGATGCTTTAAATTTGAATTCAATAATATCAGTTTATTACAAAATATATTATACGATATTGATTTTCAAGTAATACAGCAGGTTAAATTGTTTTTATGCTGATAAAATTGCATATCATTGTTTACAATATACAAGATGTGTATAACAGACCTTTGACCTGGAAAAAATAAACGAATATAACACGGCATTATATCTACGTATTTCAATTTTAGTGTACTCTCTAAAATTTTCGTCAAAATCGGTTGGTTTATTTTTGTGCCCATAGACACCAAACGCATTACAAAATGATAAACTTTAGTATTTGCTTTATTTTTAGGTAATGTATAGTTTCTTTATTTGAGACCAAATACACGTTAATTTAGTGTAAGTATGCGTTTACTTCATCTGTCTGTGACTCTTGAGTCGTGGGCGACAAATCGCAACCATTTGAATGTAAAAAAATCTTATGATGTCTATCGTGAATCTCAAAATATCTGAGCGAGCAAATCTTTAAAATTCGAGTTTTGGAAAATACTTTCTTAGTAAAACCCTTGCAGAGTGGTACGAAGGTACTATGAAAATTTCAAGTCTTAGTTCTGTCTTAGTTCCATTATTATAAAATACTAATTGCATAATCTGGATTCGTCCGTGTGCAATTTTGTGTGCGAAATCCTATACATAGTACCTATATACGTTACACAGGTGTGTCGCAGTAATAGTTGCGAATTTCAGAAAATTCTTTATTAATGGGTCTATCATAAAATTAAACTATTGACCAAATTTCATACTCACAGCTTCGGCGGTTTCGGCACGGCGACGGTGAATCAGTCAGTCAGTCAGGACTTGTTCTTTTAGATTTATAGATATAGATAACAAATATTAATGTACGTTTAATGTTTATAGAAGGTACCACGAATAATATATTTTAATTACATACAACAAAATAACTAAAATCGTTATTCTTTGTCAAATATCTTATGTTGTCTAAATTTAAACTTAGTATGGTTGCATACAAAAACTGTGACTATATATTTTTTTTAGATTTTTTTAGTTACAGTTTGAACTACTTGTGACTTATGACTTACATCACATTGATGCCTATCCTATTTTGTCATGACTTCCGATTTAAATCGAGATTTTATCTATGTATCTATTAACTGTTAAGTCACAATGAAGTTTCTTCAAAGTTATAAGCTATTGCAATATGGACATATGTAGACGATGGTGATGATTGATGACGAAGTAGGTTCTGAAATCGGGATTTCCCAACTGCAGTGCGCCTGTGTAGACGACTAATAGGCAATAAATAATATTAAAACAAAATAACAATAATAATAATATAAATAAGTATGCACAAGTATGTACAACGTATGTCACGGTGACGGCCGAAGGTCAGGAGTACAGCTGCTGTAAAGAAGGCCGTGTGTCCGCGCAAGCCAATTTGTACTTAAATAATATAATACTCGTGCAAGTAGTTATTTAGGTATATACCTAGTCTCATTATTATCTTTAACGACGCCCATCGCCTGCGTATAACAAGAAACCGAACGATATATTACACGTCATCACAAAGCTAATGTTCCACTCCGGCCGAAACGAAAAATAGCAAAATATTATTACCAACGCCTGCTGAGTCGACGTACCCACTACCCATCATCGCGCACACTGTTATTATTCATCACTATTATTATACTCCTCCGATCTTGTGAGTCTTGTGCCTCAGTTGGACATCGACGTCGAGCGGACAAAGATTCTACGGATACTCGCCGTCGCGACAACAATATGCGAATCTAAAATAAAAATACAAATTAAATACCTATAACAGTACCTACCAGTACACGAAACACCCATAAAAATATAAATTAATTTCGTCATGCTCGCTGCCCTGTCGCGGCTACTGCCGCTGTTGCTGCTGTTGCTGCTGCCCGCGGCCGCGATCGCCGCGAACATATTGGTGTTCATGCCCATGCCTCTGAAAAGCCACTTCGGAGGGTTCCAACCTATGTTCGAGGAGTTGGCAAACCGGGGCCACAACGTCACCGTGGTCAGCTCGTTCCCGCTGGCCAACCGACGAGTCCCGAATTACACTGACGTGAACGTGACCCCCCAGCAAGGTCTTCCCGGTGAGTATAACGATGTCTGCTGAATATTATCATGAGATATCTTTGTCGTTTTACATTCTGCGGAGGAGTGCAGTGGTGAGTTCAAACCTTGGGGGCGCTACGATTATGAATAGCTCACATAGCCGTGTGGGAATCTGCCCCCCCCACGCCCCCCAATAACACTTATATTATCAATATTGAGATTATACCGTTGATCACAATACCATTATTAAAAAAACTAAACATTTTTTTTTTCATTATTATAGCAAAATTTAAATTGTCAAAAATAATTTCCTATCGGTTGTAGCAAATGTCATTTGTTAGATATTTCTTCAAGAACAGTGTCATTACTCATCAGTTGGGTATGGCAGTGGTCTCCAAATGAAAATTTATCGAATTTTTGGTTGAGCTCTTTTTTGTTTTGACTCTTTAAAAATCTTACTAACTTGGATTGTAAACGTATAATAATATGGAATTTTCAAACCATCATTATAAAATTATTTCCATAATTCTGTTTTCATAATTTGAAATTACTCAGTGATACTATTAATAATATAATTTCGGCCTTCTCTAATGTAGCCGATTTGGATTGTAGTAATGTATCGAGTATGTCTATAACTCCGGACAAATATTTTAAAACAATTACTAAAACTATAAATTGATATTTTGCAATTTATGATTATTATATAGTCAGAATGCAAGATAAGTGAAAAAATTATAATAATGAATTCTTAATAATAAAATAAGATAATTCAAATTATTGATGTTTGAAATAAAGTTACAACGAATGCTTAAGCCCCCCCCCTCTCAGCACCCTCGGTAGTCGCTTCACTGTAGGAGTGTCTTATTGTATCACGACGATGTGTACTTTTGTTTGCGTTATAGATGTGAACTGACCAGAAAATAAATTATGTGCTCATATCGAAGTATCGTCAATACTATTTAAGGGTGGTAGGTAAATGGTTTCTGGTACCGTTTTTCATCTATGAGCATCACGTTTGTAGGAACTTTGTACACAAAGTTTGATCACAAAAAAAATAATAAACTCGAGGAAATATAACTTTTAATTTATATTAGTAATATACTCTCGAATCTTGATATTTTGGAGCTTCAGGGAATAAAAATAAATTCGACTTATGTAGGTATTTTTCGAGTTATATACTTCAATTACAACTTAAAAACAATTCAATGGGCTGGACAAGGTTAACGAGATTTGACTGAAGTAGTTGTCGAGAGAAGGTCATCTGTCAGAATTAACTATAGCTCAAGTACGTAATGGATACATTCAATTTGAATTCAACAATAAATGTTTGTACCTACACGAGAAAACGATTATTAACGAAGGAGACGTGCATCAGCATATATTTTTAAATATAATTTATGTCTTATTAGTTATTAATATATATATAATTATATAAACCACACTCGTACTTAGTATTATTACTTATTTGTTTACTAACCGTAAGATGGACAAAATTTGGGTAGGTACCTATGTTTTGTTAAAAAAAAAAATGATTGTTGAAAATATACTCTATGGGTATGAAAATGTACACCTAATACAAGCTAGTGTATTCAAAAATCGTACTATTTACTTATAGTAATTTAAAAATGAAATTATCAGTAAGTATTTATTTTTTTTTGATAGGCATTTGTGTTTAAATAGTCCGTCTCCTTCGCCGAGAATCGTTTTTCAAATACCTACATCGATTTATCATAGTATAAAATTCACACATGCTATATATCTATTATACGCCATGATGACGAAATACTTTTCAAACCTATTATACGCAACAGGTGTGAGTTACCAGGGTTAGAATTTCCTCGGAACTTTAGAGCGTGACATTGCGACAATCGTTTACGTGATGATCGTATCATGTTTGTTATTTTTCATACTTTACCCACCCTGCACTGTTGCAGACATTGACGTGATGCGGGTGATCGACATAAATTTTGTGACGGCACTGACTTACAGATGGTTTTTCGGCCGTCTCTTGTCGGCCCAAATGGAGCACCCGAATATGATCGACTTCGTGCGGTCGGAGGACAACTCTTTCGATTTGGTCATGGTCGAAACGTTCCTGCAGGAATACACCGTGTCCATCGGTCATAAGTTCAACGCTCCTGTCGTCAACTTGTCACCGGCAATGGTCTGGGTCAGCGCCAGCAAATGGCTGCATTTACCTGCGACATTTTCGTATGTGCCGGATTGCTGCATAGGCGTCACAGACGAGATGAGTTTCACGGAGCGTTTGAAGAACACCATCACCGGACTTATAGAAATGGTCGTGGAGGACTACCTGTACATACCGATGATGAAGTCGGTAATGAGTAAGCACTTGGCCTATGTAGGTTGGGAGTCGAGGCCGACGCTCGAGCAGATGTTGAATAACGTGTCGCTAACGCTGATGAACGCTCACCATGTGACCGGAGTGTGTCGACCGTATTTACAGGGCGTCGTCGAAGTAGGAGGAATGCATATTAAAGAACCTAAATCGTTACCCAAAGTGAGTCCTAATATTAGGAATGATCATCTTAAAATACATGCATTTCAAATGTCAGACTATTACTGTACTTATTGAAGTATTCAACTCACTCTAACGCGCACGATGAAAGTTATTGAAACTTGGCCTCCTAATTTATTATAATTAACAATATAAAATATAAAAATTATTAATATTGCTAATTTTTAAAACCAATTTTTTATTATTTGCCATTTATGGGTATACTTTTAGGGTGCCCGATTCTTAATGTACAACTGAGTAAGTGTTTTTAGTTAGGGTGGCTATATTTTAATGGAAATTAATTAGTCGAAATGTTAATGGATTTGAGCTGAGGGATTCAGCTTTTAAACATTCAAATTGAAATAGTAATAATATTGAAATGAGCTAATGCTAAAGGTTAAATTAAATATCAATAATAATTATTAATAACTGTCTTCAGAAATCCTATTTACGAGTATTGTACTACGAATTCAAAAATGTTGTTTTTAGGATTTACAAGAATATATTGATTCAGCTTAAAACGGAGTCATATTTTTTTCTTTTGGTTCAATCGTAAATTTATCGAGTTTACCTAAAGAAAAATTGAATAGTTTTCTCAATGTCTTCAGTCGTTTAAAACAAAAAGTAATTATAAAATGGGTGCCAGATAGAAGTATGAAATTGCCCCAAAATGTAAAGGTCGGATCGTGGTTGCCTCAGAACGATATTTTAGGTAAGTAATTCATTATTTGAATTTAATTGAGAACATTTTTAAAAACATAAAAATATTTTATAACTGTATGTATACAGCTCATCCAAACGTGAAACTTTTTATTACTCATGGGGGTTTGCACAGTATCGAGGAAGCTGTGTACAATGCAAAACCGGTGATTGGCATACCATTTTTTGGTGATCAATTTTCGAATATGAGACTGGTAGAGAAAATTGGCTATGGAAAGCTGATAACTTTTGATCAACTAACAGAAGAATCATTTGGAAATGCAGTTGAAGAAGTGATAACAAATCCAGCGTATGTAGATTATATAGAGTATAGAACACACACTAGTTATAATATCATACATTGATAATTAATTTTTGATTAATTTTGTCTGAAGATGATTTATTAATGAAATTGTTTTATCTTTTTAACAATACTCCACGGTCATATAAAATATATTGTATTCAATTTTTCTACTTCGTTCAACAGGTTTAAAGATAAGGCAATGATCCAGAGTCGGATGTACAGAGATCAATCGATGAAACCTTTAGATCGAGCAATATACTGGATAGAGTACGTCATTCGGAACGATGGAGCTCAATACCTAAAAGCTGGTTCTATAGGACTTAACACTGCACAGTATTTTTTGTTTGATGTCACATTGTTTTTACTTTTACTGACAGCAATTATTGTTTGGTTGGGTTACCGTGGAATAGTTAAAGTTTCATCAAAATGTAAAGTAGACTAAATGTAAAAAAAAATGAGTTACATTATGTAGTGTAAAATAATTCAACCTACTGTATTACTAATGTCTAATAGTAAAATAAATTACTTTAATAGCAATAATATCATAAAATATATTTAGCCAGGTAGGCTAACAAATGATAATACAATCACTATCGATTTTATCGTTGTATACAATGATTTTATATCATTAAATTCAAATTAAACACATCCATTACAGTGATCCCCTCGAAACCTGTGCAGCATATCGGTACTGTGGTTTCTACTCACCCATATTTTTTAATTTACGTTTAAATTTAATTAAACAATTATTATTTTAGTAGTTCAGTTATGCATTGTATATTAAAACTGACATTTCATTATTGGTACCTATGTTAATTACAAGAGTGATGACAAAATACATTATACATTTGGATTAACGTATATTTTTATTACTAATTAAGCACATAGATATAAATCACAAATTTTAATAAGCATTAAAAATAATTGCCAGTTTTTTTAAAAAATGTAAAAAAAATAATGAAAATGAAACCTTCAAGTCATGGGGTGTTATATTGTAATGTAAAGTCGAATCATATGTTATATTTATAAATGGACAGTATAACAGTGTAACATATTTGCATGACATGACGGTATTCAAAATAATATCTGCTAGTTTGTAGATGAATAGATGAATAAATAAACAAATAAATAAATAATAAATTAATACACTGACGATAATGACAATAATCATTAATAAGTCATAACGATAATGACTGAATATCACGTCTCTAGGTGTGGGTAAAATTATAAATTTATAATTTAAAAATATTAATACACATAATAATTGAGCTACTGAATTTGGCCCGAGTACGCCGCGTGGTGGCCGTCGATGCTGCGGCCGTAATGGTGGCCAGACGATGACAACTCGGTAGTGTGTCCGCTCATCTGCTGCGGCTGCACCAGTTTCTTGAGCATCATCAAACCGGACAGGAGCAGGGCTATTTTGCTCAGCAACAGCGCTTTGCCGGCCATCAGGGCGATGATTTTCAACGCCATTGGGCCCATGACGCCGGCGGCCATCATGCCGGCCATCATCATGGCCTGTTGCATGGCCTTGTCCTACTTCTTGCGACCTGCCGTGGCACACGAATCATACGTCACGTTAAATAATATATATATTTTAAATTATTAAATAATATATTTGAAAAAGACCCAACAAATTCCATGAAAAAATGATTTTATACCAAAAAAAATTCAATATAACGCACCTATGAAATGCGCTTTATTTTTCTGTGAATGGTAAAAAAAATGTTGCAGGACTTGCACGATTTCAAGTTACTTGGTGGATTTTAAATCTAAGAAAATAATTATTCTTTATTATGCATAAAATGACCTGTATAGGTCAGGAAATGTGTTTAATATTTTTCCGTGGTAAATTTCATAAAAACTACTGTAAGTAAGTAGTAGGTATCACATTTTTTTCGTCTTAGAATCAGGGAAGTTTAAATTGTAAAAATTGAAAGTAACATTTTTCGATGTCTTTTAACTTGACAAGTTGAAAAAAAAGAATATTAGAAAATGGATAACTTAATTATTGTTTATATTTTGAAACTAACTTAGCTTAGTTATTTTCTTTTTTTAGAATAGTCCAAACTAGTCCTTAAAAAATTGGTTAACTTGCCCTTAGTGTTATGCTTATCTTGTCCCAGTTTGAAAATGAAATTATTGCAAACTTCATTATTAAAAAATAAAAATTATCGTCCACACTTTTGTACCCAAACCTGAGTTATGTCATCATGCTTCTTCCTACTTATTTGAAATGGCTTTTCTAAAATTTAAGTGTGTGAATATAAAGTGAAGAGCACGCGAATACTTACCTACCACTTAGCAATAAGTAATAACAGTTCAACATTAATTTTAAGTGGTTATAATTTATAATTTAATAATCATATTATTATAGTATACGCGGGAAAACTCGGAGAAATTTTTTGGAAAATCGAAAAGTAGTTCTATCATATTTTTCGTGCGTCATGACGACAGTTGTATGTAACTATAATGGTGTAATAATAGTGCTGAAGTTTTAACTAATAGTAACATATTATTTATTTTTTTTTTTTTTTATCAAAAAACGGTTTGATGTGAAAAAGTCCATAATATACCATGCCATATGTTATTATATTTATTGAAATCTCTAGTGATTGTATTATTAAGTTTTGTATATTAATTATTAATAATATTGTTTTCGACCGAAATCCACGGTAAACCTAATCTGCATTCCTCTCGGTATAGGTAACACGGATTTGGGAATAAGGTGACCTTTAGATAGTTCGTAAATAATTGTTTGACACGCGTCTTGGTGCCCGGTTCAATAATAATATCAGAAAACTCGCGACAGTCAAGTTCAATAGGTTAGATTGCGAAGTCAATACTAAATTTAATTATATCATTATTACCATCGGTTTTTTGAATCGAATGACCCATTCTCCTCTCACAGTTAGAACGTTAAAAATTCAATTACTACGCTGCTGAATTTTATTTTTGTCTTGCGAAATTCTCATTATTCGCTCGTCAACACCTGGAGAACAAGCTAAAGCCACAATATTATAGACTGTTGTGTTGTACCTTAAGTCATAGGATGTCACCAGTTCACAAAAAGAATTTTAAGTTTTGCTGAACTTAGAGGACTCGTTTGTAAGTGTAGTAAAAATTCACTCGATGGAACGATGTCGGAGAGCACTGGTAGTGATGTATGGGCTATTTACCAAATGCGTTTGAATGCAAAGGACCTTTAAGTATGTTAATACAGTATAACTTCCATGCAATGAACTTCCATTTTGGAAAATGTTATATTTAACGAAATATTGTTGAGAATCAAACAAATTAGAATCAAATGCGTTTAATTCTATTTAACACATTTTTCTATTTCCCCCCTCCCCCCTTTTTTTTGTTCATAGGACTTCGTTGTATGGAAGTTTCACGGTAATATTGTTGAATGGTCGAGTTGCGACGTTTGTCAACGGCGAAATGATTCTATTTGAAAAATGGTTTGCAAATGTATTCGAACAAAGTGTAAGTACCTTTTTTAGGTTTCATTGTTGTAGGTGCCTAAGTGATAAACGATAAAGGCCTTATAACTGGGTAGCTTTCCTGCTCTACATTTTCCAAGTATTTTTTAAATTGACGTTTTTCTCTGTGAACCTATTAGCATAATTGTATATTTTTTCTTCAGAATAGTTTTTACGTTACATTTTAATACATATTAAAAATGTACCTATCATAATATTAAACCGACTATAGCGATAAAGTTTCATTAGGTAATTACTCTTCATACGTCTTTTGATGCCATCATATTGATAGCTTTTGTCAAGTGATAGAAGGAATTCAATTTTAATATATTATACTCTTATTGAAACCACGATGAAAAACATAGCGAATTTGTGTCAAACAGCTCCAATTGTGTGTTATTGCTGTCTTAGAGTGAATTAACAAATTAGAGATTACCACTGTTGTCAAACTCAAAGGCAAAGGCATTAAGTGTATGTGTTCTCCCATTGGATCTTACGATGTTATAATATTTTTAAGCGAGTTATGAGTAATATACATTTTAATGTTTTACCCTATAACTAGTTTGATAATTAAAATATCGTAAAAAGCAAAAACCCACGAGCAACCACAAATGATTTTCTAACCTTTGAGTTTGGTGATTGCTAATTGGCCAATCGTGCACTCTATAATTAAGACTTACTTCACAAAATTAGAACTGACGAACATAAATTTCTTATGTTGTAAGCCAGAGCAACAATTGCGGTTGTGGCTTCCTCATATGCCTGATTTCTATTTTGATCAATTAACGAAAACTGTGTGCTAAAATATTTCAGTGATTATAATATTAATGGTTACTAGTCACGCGTATGAAAAATAATATGAATGCTCATATCATTATATTATAAAACAGCGAGTTAGTCATCGGCTTTGCAAAATACTTAAATCCAACACTTCAAAATAGTTGTAACACAGAGATGTTAAAATAGTTTTATCGTCCAAATCATAATTTTTTGCACTCGATCTGAGTGGACCGACGTCAGATTTATGTTACAAATTTAAAATCGAATCATTTTAATTACCTAATAAACAGTATTTTACAGGAGTGGGTCATCCAGTTCATTTTGACACCCGGCAAACGTTACGATCTGAAAAAGAACAACGATCCGAAAACTGTGTTGTGAAAAATAAAGTTTTCGGACCACTGTTTTTTTTTTTTTAAAAAATCCTTACGATTGCCGAGATAGGTAGCTATGATGAACCGGACGGGTTATACCTAAGTTTTGCAATATATTTAGCTTATAAAGTGGTTGCAAGAATCAAAAAAGGTTCAATTGGAGATAACGTAGCGACGGAAGTCGTACGCGTATTTATTATAAAACAAAGTGTTTAATATTATGGGTACTTAAAACTTTTTTAATCCCACATGATTATGTCCCGTAAGTGTTTTTTTTTTTAAATCGACCAGATAAAAATGTTTTAGAAACTATTTTTTTAGAAACTGATTGCTGGATGAACAACTTCATATACCGTGACACGACGAACCCTCCATCCTTAGGTGACGTTCTGTAATACGAGCGTGCCATACAGAGCGAAACGTAAATAACCGACAATCGCAGTTATTATGGTTTGTAAATCACACACACGCGAGCGGATGACTGAGATTATTGTTGAAATGTTTTATTTTTCTGTGGTGGGACTAATGGTGTTTTATATGTTTTATTTGTATAAAATATTATCATTTTATTGTGCCCGACTAGGTTCAACCCAAAAGATGTTTATTAACACACCCGAATTTAATAATTTTTAAATTGTTTAAAACGCGTTTCAATACAATCGTTAAATATCAAATATGTAACTTAATCTTTTAGACATTATGGTATGAATTAAATATGTTGACTGTGGATTTAAAAATGAATAAAAAACCTTTACGAGGTAACATAATATTACATCATTAAGTTTGCCTGCGTAAAGTATAACTAAA